GTACATTTGTCCAGTCCAAAACTCTATTGCAATATCTTGGCTGTATATCTGGACAGTGTTGAGCAGTGTTGAGTCTCCTGGTTTTTAGGCCAGCACCTTAACCCCTACACCAATCTGGCTCTCTATGTAGTTTGCTTTACTTTTTAGTTTTACAAGAATATAGAAACGGTTTGCTGCTGTCTTCCATTATTTTCCAACTTCCCAATTTAGCCTACAACCTTGGGATTTTATGATGATTTCCTATTGAAATATTAAGCAGGTCAGTTTTTTTCAAGATTGGCTAGATTTTCCCATCTTACCCAATGGCTTAGCCTTCTAAATTGTTTCACTAGGAGTTCAATAGGTCTTTTTCTGCTAATTGCCTTGAATAGCCAAAAGAGTCTATGTCTTTAACTTCTAAAAAAGCCCAATATATATTAATGGTCTTTCTTCACCTTAATGCTGGGGTACACAGTTTTTTCCTGTCAAGAATCATGCAGTGTTTGAGTGACATAACAGGAACACATTTCATTTGTGAAATGGTGAGACCAGGACAAGAGCTAAATTTCTTGTCATTTCATTTACATTTAATGAAAATGAAATACATCTGATAAATTTATTCTCAAATCATTTATTTAAGAATTTTCTCCTTTTATCACAGTAGAAATGGCGATGTAGTTAACATCTTTGGGACACATCTGGTAGCCACAGCCAAGACTTTCCAGACCTCAGACTGTGTACCTCTGGCTTAGTGGGTCACAGTATTTGAAAAATTGATTTTCCAGACTGAAAAGGAAAGAATCAGAGATTACATATCTATATTCCTCACTGATAAAATAGTAGAAATTAAAGTATCAAGTGAGACTTGCAATTAAGTGTTGCAGTGCAGCTTTACTTTCTAAGTAGAGTGCTGATGTTCCACTGTCCACTTTCCTTTGTTTCCTTATATTATATTGGCATTTACCAATATAAAGAAAGACAGGAAACAATATTTCAAAATACAGGGATTCTATTACTGCATGACTGAAAAAAAATGCCTCATGACTCTTACCTTAAAAATATAGAACTTGTGGTCCACTTGTTGTCCTAGCTTCTCTTGTAATCGTAGAATTAAATGTATAACCTGATCTTTCCGTGACTGTGTGATGAGAGGTTCTGCTTTTCTAATATCTTCTACCAAGGCTTCTACATCTGTTCTAAAGTACATTTTAAAAGACAGTTTTCATCTTCTGACAAACAAACACTCAAGGATGCTTTTCAGTTATCTTAGAGCACAGTCCTCATTACCAACATCCATTAGCGCCAGTGCTGGTTTCTTTGGGAATGATGAAAGTAATGTTAAATTCATGTAAACTGTAGAATTACAACATCCAGATTATAATCACAAATTTGGGGTTGAGTAAGACATACTTCTTTAATATATAGAATATTTCAATGCAGCAGTTTAGAAAATCTGTATATTAAAAAATGAATTATGCATAGTTGCAATATTTTATAGCATTCACTCAGCTTTGGCAATCTCATCAGGGAAACATTATTTCTAAATTTAAATAAAGAGATGTGTCAGATTCCAGATATGATGTTGGTGGTGGTGATGGTGAAAGAATTCTATAGGGTGTTCTTAAAACCTTATCTTTAGTTGTTTTTCTTTATACTGTAGAAGCCTCCCCTTCTCACCATCCACCATTCTTTTCTATAAAGCAACATCCTTCTTGCTAGTTTATATATCTCAGCAATTATATTAAAGCTATTAAGGTTTTTAAATTTTTCTTAGGACCATAGAGAATTATAACATTTTATATGTATGCAACTTAGATGTATGAATTGCTAAATTATACCCATTCGATTTTCACTAATTGCTCTAACCATTTAAACCTAATTGTTTGGAACACAGTCTTCTCTAAAACTGTAATTGTCTATACACTTATAAAGGAATAAGTCCCATTTAGTTCAAATAAGACTTTTCTAGAAGCTTTCCTGAATTAAATCCAAGATTTCTCAGTGAAGCTGCTGAAAACAAATAGTGCTTTACATGTTATTCTCCTACAGCTTGATAAGTTTTAAGATCTCAAACAGAAGATGTTTCTTCTGGTGGCTGCTCCTAGTTCTGGAACTCGTTGCCAAGGGTGGCCAGTTTAGTTCCTTCTATGACAATCTCCACCTAGAAGAGCATTTTTTTCAGACATGTCTTTGGCTTCATAAATAAACTGTTTTGGCTCCAGGAAATAGTTCTGTTTGAGCAAATAGCTGTTTTAAACTATCTTTAGTTAGCTATTTCATTGGTACAGGTTTTATTTCTATTATTTTGTATTTTTCTTGTATCATCTTTTATAAGTCCCCTTCCAAGTCATTTGGTGGAAAGGAAAAATGCAAATTTAAGAAATGAAATGAATATTGAACTCGATGGAATTTACTTCTGAGTAAACATGCATAGGATTGGCATATAACACTTTCCCAGAATAAATATAAAAATTGAGTAGGTTTTCTATTTTTGGTCACTTTATTTGAAATTACTGTACATTAATTGTAAAATTGTCTTCTTAAACATAGGTGAACTTTGAAAACAGTCTTTATCTAATGAGGCTTTATCTAATGACTTCAATGGCATAATGTTTTATTTTATACTAACATGTATTTGTCCAGTAGTAATGTATGGCTGTGAGAGCTGGACCATAAAAAAGGCCGAGCGCCGAAG